TTGAAATCTGTTAAGCATCCTTCATGAACACTTCTGACACTAGAGAGTCTAGCATTTATGGGAGAACATTTAAAAGACTTGTGAGGGGTACACACAACAAATGAACAAGGGATGTAGTTTATATGTTTACCACCAGTAATTTCATTGAAAGGTTTCCATACATTAGAATAGTTTTTACGGGATATTAACTTCTGTTTACATATCATATCTACCCTCAGCATTTCAGAATTCCTTAGGATGGTAATTCTTTTCACACCATTATTATCCTTTATTTAATATGACATTTCTTTTTTCTGAGAAGCTTTTTAAGTTGAGGAGAGGAGAAACAGTCAAATCCCATAAAAAGCATGTCTCCAGATGAACAGATGTCAGGATAGAATTTCAGATAACATGTAATATTTGAGAAAGTGTTATAAAAATAGTCTTCACTAAACAAATCGCCTCGCCAGATACTAGCTTGCTAGGCTACTAGCCTACTAGTTTTCTAGCCGGTCCCAAGCCCTGGTAAAAGGGGGAGGGTTGGGGCGTGGTGCTAGCAACTCCACACCCGTAAAACAACCAAATCGCTACAGAAACTTCAACGAATAAATATATTAAAAATTCTAAAAACATAAGCAATAGCCTTACTTTTCGCTGGAATCGGGGAAGTGAAATGACGCAGGCTGGTGAAAGCCTTCGGGAAGCCAGTCAGCCGATGTGCCTTCTTTCGATGAAAGCAAAAGTAAGGATGGGTACCTGGAATGTTCGTACAATGTACGAAACTGGAAAGGCTGCCCAGATAGCCGCTGAAATGAGAAGGTACAGAATAGAAGTGTTGGGAATCTGCGAAGCAGATGGAACGGAACTGGAAGGTGCCAACTACCTACTGGAGAGACAGTAATCTTTCCGGCCACCCAGAGGACAACCATGAGCACACCGAGGGAGTGGCCATCATGATGTCACCAACAGCAACCAAAGCTCTCATGCAGTGGGAACCAATCTCCTCCAGGATAATGACAGCCAGGTTCAACTCAAAAGGAAGGAAAGTTACAGTCATTCAATGTTATGCGCCTACAAACGTCTCAGAACAAGAGAAGAAGGAGGCGTTCTACAGACAACTACAAGCAATAATGGACAACGTCCCAAATGGCGATATCAAAATCCTGATGGGCGACATGAATGCGAAGCTGGGAGAAGACAACACAGGAAGAGAACTCACCATGGGTCGTGAGGCCCTCGTGAAATGAACGACAATGGTGAACTCTTCTCAGACTTCTGCGCCTTCAATGATTTGGTGATTGGTGGTAGTGTGTTCAAACACAAGGATATACACAAGACGACATGGATTTCACCAGATGGAAACACCAAGAACCAAATAGACTTCATCTCAATTTCAAGAAAGTGGAGACGGAGCCTACTGGACACAAGGTCAAGGAGAGGAGCAGATGTGGGTTCAGACCACTATCTAGTACAAGGGACTTTCAAGGTGAAACTAAAAGCCTCGAGGATAGCTGGGGATAGGCCACAATGCAAGTTCAACACTCAATTACTGAAGGACACAACCACAAAAGACACTTTCACTGCAACTGTCAGAGCAAAGCAGGAAACACTACGCGACATCACTGAAGAATCATGCGTGGAAGAACATTGGAAGTCTCTGAAGGCGATTCTCAACGAAACGTGTTCAACGGTTCTAGGAAGAAAGAAGAGACAAGACAAGGAATGGCTCTCAACGGACACTTGGAAATTAATAGAAGAGAGGAGAATGGTGAAAGAGAAAATGATTCAATGCAAGGACGGACAGGAGAAGGAGACGCTGAGCTCAACTTACACAGCACTGGACAAAGAAGTGAAGAAGAGTGCTAGGAAGGACAAAAGACGATTCTACGACAACCTGGCACTGAAGCTGAGAAGGCAGCAGGCAAAAGGGACCTGAGGACACTATATCAGATAACCAAATCTCTATCCGGGAAGAGATCAACACAAGCGAAACCTATAAAAGACAGCCAAGGGAACCCAATTACCAAGGAAGAAAAACAGATTAAACAATGGGCGGATCACTTCAAAGGACTCTTGAACCGACCATCACCTGCAACCCGTCCAGAAATACCAACAACAGCGCGCACACAACTGCAAGTTGACACCAATCCTCCAACGAGAGCTGAAGTCTTGAATGCAATCAAGCTTCTGAAAGCTGGAAAAGCAGCCGGACCAGATGGAATACCCCCTGAAGCACTGAAAGCAGACCCAGAGACGACAGCAGACATGCTGACTCCATTATTGCAAAAGGTCTGGAAGGAGGGAAAGGTGCCTACTGACTGGAGGAAAGGTTACCTCGTGAAACTACCAAAGAAGGGCGACTTAGGACTCACTCTGCAAGAACTGGCGAGGAATCATGCTCCTATCGACGCCAAGTAAAATCCTGAGTCGCATCATCCTGGAGAGATTAAAGGACGCACTGGAGACAGAACTCCGACCAGAACAAGCTGGATTCAGGAAAGGCAAATCATGTACTGACCAAATTGCAACTCTACGCATCATCATAGAACAAAGCATGGAATGGCAATCAAACCTCTACCTCAACTTTATAGACTTTGAGAAGGCCTTCGACAGCGTTGACCGTGAAGTAATTTGGAAATTACTCGAGTACTATGGCGTACCCCAAATATTCATCAACCTTATTCAACAGCTGTACGACAACGGCACATGTCAAGTGATCCACAACGGAAAACTCAGCGAGGCGTTTGGAGTAAACACAGGAGTCAGACAAGGGTGCTTATTATCACCAATGATATTCCTAATTGTGGTGGACTGGATTATGCGTCAGACAGTGGGAAACGAGAAGACAGGAATATCCTGGACCGACGTGAAGAACCTAGAAGACCTGGATTTCGCGGATGATTTATGTTTGATGTCACACACAATCGAAGACTTACAAGCGAAAACCGACAAACTGGTCGAAGAAGCAGGTAGGAAGACAGGACTCCAGGTAAACATAGACAAGACGGAGGTTATGAAAATAACCAACCAACAACAGCAACAACATCCAACGTCAATCACCATCAACGGGAGGGATTTGAAAGAGGTTACTTCATTCACTCACTTATCTAGGGAGCATTGTCTCAACTACAGGAAGGGAACGGACGAGGATGTCAAATCGAGAATCGGGAAGGCGAGAAACACATTCATCACACCTGAAATCAATCTGGAAATCTTCGTCACTCAGCATCACCAACAAAATTCGGATTTTCAATACAAACGTAAAGTCAGTTCTTCTATACGGATCAGAAACTTGGCGGGTCACAAAGAATATTTCCAAAAGGCTGCAGACCTTTATTAACAACTGTCTTCGCTCAATACTGAAGATCAGATGGCCGGAAAGAATCACCAACAAGGAATTATGGGAACAAACAAACCAAGAACCAATCGCCCAACAAATATGCAGGAGAAAGTGGAGATGGATCGGACACTCGCTGAGGAGACCGCTGGGTGACATCGCGCGCCAAGCCCTCGAGTGGAACCCGAAAGGGAAGCGGCGTGTGGGACGTCCAAGGGTGACATGGAGGAGATCGTGTGAAGAGGAGTTGAAAGAATATGGACTAACATGGATGCAGGCGAAAAGTACAGCAGAAGACAGAAGCAAATGGAGACGTGCAGTTGAAGCCCTATGTTCCACTAGGAACGCAAGGGAGCAATAATAATAATAAACAAATCCCACTTTGTGTCTTTGAACATACTTCTAAGACTGTACATTCTTCTTAGAGTAACACCTGTAAACCATTTTCTTAAACAGGTACAAGAAGGCTCTCCTCTGGAGAAATTCATGATTATACTGTTTGCAATCTGAATATGAATTTCACATCATTTCACATAAGATTGCCAGTTTCTGAGTATTATTGGGTGACCAGTTTTAGCGTGAATTTAAGATTGATACAGATTCACTTCGATGTTCGATTTTAATTTTATTTGTATTTTGAACCGTAAGTTTCCCTAGCCTACCGTTAAATGCCAATGCAAAATACTTTACTCACGATTATCATCACGTCATGAAAATTCGATTACAGATAAGAAAATTCATTCTTTGCTGCTTACAATTGTATTCTTCTTGGAAAGCTGAAATACAGACGCTAGATACACACATACATTTATAAATGATTTGGATTTTTGACCCCCCCCCTCCCCAATATTGAGTTACTTTTTTTGCATGGGTTGGAAACATGACGCAACATGAAAAGAATTTCCAACAGGCTGCTGAAGACTTTCACCAACACCTGCCTTCGCTGTCTGCATACTGAAGGTCAGCTGGTCAGATATAATTAGTAGCATGAAACTCTGGGAAAAGGCAAGTCATGAAAATATTGCCTGAATGAATTGGCAGAAAAAATGGAGATGGACAGGACACAAGGGGGAAGAGACCATCAGGTGAAATCGCTCTAAGTGCAGGCATTTCGAGTGGGATCAGAATAGGAAATGACAGGTCGGGTGTCTGAGAGTGACATGGAGGCGATTGTGTGAAGAGGAGATAATAGATTGTAGGCTATCATGCAAACGGCTGAAGTTGAGTATAGAAAATAGGACAAAATGTCCCACTCACAACTAGAGGGGAATTGATTAGTAAAAATATCAGTAATGATAGTAGATTCTAATAACTTGAATAGGTTCACAAGTGTTGGCTGTTTCGCCCGGTTAATTCACAGTGGCTTAGTTTATGATTCCAGTATTGCAAGAAATCAATGTTGCAAAAGTACACCGCTTCACAATTTCATGTGATATTTCGAGGGACTTAACTCTTTACGAAAATTAATGGCTGGCATGAACCTTTGAGTATCTTCACCTATATAACCGTCCACTCACGAACTTCTTCATCACCTAAGATATTTCTGACATCTTTGAAGGATGCGAATCCAAATATGCTTCATCTTCCAACAAATAAAAACAACGCGTAACCATTGCTACTTCTCTAATTTTTTCGATAAATAATGGATAATAACTTCAGTGTTTTACCCTTTTTCTCAATCTAGCTCCGTCATTACTTGATATCGAAAAGAAAAGAATTGGAAACGGCTCAGCTGCTTATTTATTCATATCAGATTGTGACTGCACTAGCTTGCTTGGAGTCAAAAAGATGTGTCCACAGGTAATCTTTTGTTAATTATGGTTTTCTGATACTGGAGGACCTATTCAGCATTATTAAGTCCTCGAGTTAACAGAAAGGAAAGTTAGCTGATTGACCGGTTGTTAGGGTGTATACAACTTTTTGTTTTCATTCCTTACTATTGATTGTGACTGAATTCTATCGGACAAATTTGAAATGTAGTCACCAAGCTGTATAGCTCCACATAGCTGTGTATTACAAATAGATGTTAAGGAACTGGAATCAGTCATCCATAAGCTTAAATGAAGTGATAGAATTTTATTTTATTTTTGATTACAGCTTGATTCCACACTATAGTTTTTGTACATGTATGGAATTTTCAGCATGAATATCGGTAGCCCAAATTTAGCAGGGGATCGAACCTCGGACCATGTGCATGGTCTGCGAGAGTCCTAACCACTGTGCCACCGACGCAGTAAGAAAGTCAATATGAAGGAACACAGAACATGGCATTGGCTACCTTTTAGTTGTCCAACATGAGATTTATTGAAATAACTCAGTGGCAGTGTCCCTGACTACAGCACTGGGTGACGCGCGTTTAAATCTTCAAATTTCCAAAGCACCAGATCGGTACTAACATACACGAAACCTGTAGATCGCCTGCAACTACTTATTATTCAACAGTTTCGTTTCTGTCAATATGATCAGCACTGATCAAAATCAACAAAATCCTGATATACTCAGCACAAAAGATTTACAATTTCTTGCAAGTACTGAACTACAAAAAATTTCAGTTATTCAGGAATAAGTTGGAAAGTAAATTTGTTAAGAATTCACGAATGAAAATTAATAACTTGGGCATACTTTATTTTCGAATATAGAAGTTACTTTTTTCAGATGATTGATATTCAAACGACTGACTTATGTTCCAGATTAATCCATCAATCTTTTAACTGTAAACTTGAATTATAGAAATAATAAAAAGGCTTAAACTTACTGTTTTATTATCTCTCTGCTGTTTATCACAGCCTAAGCTACACGAATTAGTATAGAAATAACTAAGTCATGATACTTTTTGCCAAAAAATTAATTTGATTTAGTTAGATATTCTTTTCTGAAGATGTATCCCATCCTTCTGGTTGTCAATGCATGACTTCCTTCTATGTCACAGACTGAGGATGAATTTTTCTGCTTCACTGCTGTAAGTCATGTGACTGGCAACCTTGATTTCTCCAGGCTTTTTAACAGTCAGCATGGTAAATGCAGATAAACTGCTTTGCCTATTCCTGCTAATCGGTTCACAAATGAGTGAATTTAGTTATATTCAGTCATATGCTACAATAATACTAGAGCACTGACTACAAGTGATTTTGATTTCCAGGCAACCAGTGAAAAATCCTCCAGACCAGCTGTTCCACTTTCCTTTTAATTTTACAAGAAATACGCCTTTCATAAATTTCATCCCTTTATTTCCGCATTCTACGGAGATGGAAATGTTTAGTTTAACAACGAAAACTGATTTCTAAGAGGAGCGTTTTTTTTCTAAGTTACAGATTATCACTTGTGAATCAATGAGGCGAGTGACAGACTATTTCACTTTTCACAGTCTTTGCTGGATTAAAGCAAAAAGAAGAATGTTATATTAAGTAAGGTAATAGGATCGCTTACAGTTAAGCGAATAACAAGTTTCGAGCTCCAAGAGGTAAAACTACTAAGTCAGAGGGAATTCGTCCCTGAATAACCCACAATAACATACCGTATAAAATGTGGAAATAGAGCACTCAAAATAATTTTCTACTTCTTGCCTACTCAGTCGACTGATTTGACTACAAGAATGAGTTAGTTATTTTTTTTCCTTCACGTTCCCAGTGGAACATAAGGCCTCGACCTGGTGGCTTTAAGTTTCTGTAGCAGTGTTAAATTTTACAGGATGGGACTGTTAGCCTCATGCTCAACCTTTCCTCTTCACTAGCATTATTTTTGGCTTAACGAGATAAAGGAGTGTGTCGGCCAAGAATCGAACCCCGGACCATGTGCATGGTCGGCAAGCGTCCTAACTGCTGTGCCACTGACCCACATGAGTTAGTTATACCTGCGTTTTTTTTGTTTGTTTTTGGTTTATTACATTAAATGTAGTTGAAATATTCATTGTAATCAGTAGTTTACATCACTGTATTACACTAGCAGAAGAAAAATTCACTAGAACTGAATGTATTTGCACTTTTCGTGCATAAGACCCATCCAAGATTAGTCGAAGAAAACAATTTCTTTTTCAAAAGGTATATTCATTAGTCAAACGATGAGTGTGGCATTCATTCAGATGCTGTTTTCAACAAAGTTATGATTTGTGACAGCTCACGCTCTGACAGTCTTTGAAAGATATATTTAGTTTCTTTCAGAACTTTCCTTTTGTGCTTCTTTTTTCATTGGCCCTGCCACTGACACATGAACTGATATTGTTAATCTGAAGGCGTTACTGGGTACACTACTTAAAATGTAATCCTGAAATGCTGCTCGTTAAGTGATCAAATCTACATTTTTCTTCTGAAAAATTCTGCGAAAATGATCAGTTGTCCTGTGTCAGTGTTACTGTTTGTAGGAATAATATCGTTACAATCGAGCAGAATCACATTATTACCAGTCAGTCCACCACATTCACACTTAATTCGCCAGAATATTGTCTTATTAAAGTGTTCTCTGATGACTTCTGTCCTAATGGTTATAGATAGTCATTTTATGGATAACTAAGTATGCAGAGGAAGGAGAAATGATGCTGCGATTTAATGCTCAGTTTACTAACTGAGAAGCAAACATGTTTATGGTTGCTTTCAGTGTTTTGTCGTGGTATGAGATGTTAACTCATTTTTGTCACTCTTCTTTCCGGTGACTAGGCGATAAATACCACAGTAATTTCTTATGAGTTCATCTTTTTTAAAGTACTTGTATGAGGTTGAAATATGTACCGTGTAGTAATACATTCAAAGGCATTGAAATATAGTTGTGTTACCGTAGAATAAATACACTGATTTTGTACTTAAAACAAGTTGCAAATCTGAAAACATACTCAGAAAAACTATCTGTGTATTTTATCAACTGGTGGATATATATTGTTTTAGACAGGATTAAGAGTGTTCAAGTCAGATATTGATCATTTCTTATATGAAGTTGTGTACAGGAGACAGAGTTTGAGACCTTCGGTGAATGAGTTAGTCACTTATTAACTTTTAAAACCACTTCACAGTCGACTGCAGTTTACATACACTTCTATCGGACATTTCAGACATAAATTAAAAGCTTTTTATACAAGCTTCAGCAGTACACGTTAACAAAAGTTGCCTTTGACTATCCATGGTATTCAGGGATTCATGAACACGTCAGTGCTAGTGTATATCAATTTATTCAATTTATTCTTGTAACTCATGCCTTATATCCACTAAGGTTATGTGACATAATAAAATAATGCGGTGTGTGGTGTTCACAGACAATGGTGACTAGTTGCCTACCATACCAGAAGATAATCGTAAATTTAAAATAGCATGATATAATTCTTTTCAAAGTATATTCAGGATTTATTTAGAGAAAATTCAACTGAAAGACCAAACTTATTTAAAATATCACAAGAACATATAATTCAAAATGTAAAAGTCTGATTTGGAGATGTGCTCAAACAAACGATTGTCGGTGATAAGGCTGGTAGTTTTAATAACTGTTCACAGGGTGTATGTTAAGTACATGAATGACAAATACGGAAGGCACCTCTGTCACTGTGATCACTCTTCAACTCCCGTTTAAACACGTATTAAGTGTACATTTATCATACATAAATTAGCACTGAATTCTGCCCAAACACATCTGTGGTTGCCTAAATCTTCTTTAAGTTAAATCAGGCTTACATGGTGACAAGTACTATACCTTCTGATTATTTAATCTTTTAAAAACCTAACCTGCATCTTACATTTCAGAGATATAGCTGCAAGAAATATTCTAGTCTCTCGACCAGATTGTGTGAAATTAGCAGATTTCGGTATGGCACTAATGTTGACTGACAAAAACGAATATCAAGGTGAGTGTGTGTGTGTGTGCGTAGATCACGCTAATTATAAATAAATTATAAATTCTCAGTACAAAATTAGTCAGACAAAACACAGTGTATAGGTAAAAACTGCATAGCATTCAGTGAGTTGACTGTTTTCGAATTACTTATGAGAATGGTAAATGTCAAAAAGTTTTATGCCTCTAATTTGTCTCGTTACTGGACATGTTTGGTGAAACTAACTACGTTTTTTTATAGCGAAAATATTCATTCATGTTATGCACCAACCAGTCTGGTGCATTCACTTTAGCCAAAATGAATAATTAATATTAGAAATGAAACTTTTTCTGATCGGCAGCATGAATTTGTTTACTGGAGACAATCCTTTTTGCTAACTACTCGTTTATTTTTTTTTGTTTTTTCAAACAAATCTAAGTAGATTTGTCTAAAATGAATAATAAATATTCACCGGGAAATTTGTACATTTTATGACAATGTAAAAAATTCAGAAAGTTGTGTTTGCTCAACACACTGCATTTGTTTCATTATAACAACATCCAGTCGCGTATATAAACGTGTTAGACTGAAAGGATATTCTTTGCCGCAGTCTGTGATGCTTAATACTGGAATGAAAAGTTGAGTGGAGGAAGAATTACCCTCCGGATTACTAAAACGTTTGAGTAAAAAATAAGTAGTAGCGAGTAGATCTATTCAAAAGTAGATAATTCACAGTCTCAGTTAACAAGTCATATTAATTAGGTGTTTTGAGAAAAGTTTATAGGATACTCAGAAGAATATGCGTGTAATCTTGAACAAATAATTCTGAACACTGGTGTTATGACAAACAAAAACCATAGAAAAGACTACTTCACTTGTTTTATTGGTATTTGACTATATTTCCATACTGTAATGCCTAGTAATTGCATTTAATTATTCTACCTATTCCTTCAAATTCTATATAGTTACCTATAGTAGTATCTGCAGAATGAAATGCGAACAGCTTGTCTTTTACAAGTTCATTTTATCAAATATCCCTATCTCAAATTTTCCGAATCACCTCACCGACCCATGTGTATCTTGAAATTTACTCACACAGTAAAGTATTGTGCATGATTGATTCTTTCAAAGATATGTTGTTAAATACGCCACTACATCTCACCTACACGATCATTTTGGAAAGGCTTTGACTTGAGGAAACAGCTATTTTTCATAGTTTCTTTGGTTCCTTCAGTAATTTTAATGACCATCATGCTGGTAGACGTTTCCTGTCAACCTCTTCCGAAGCTATTTGATACAGTTACTCTGGAGTAACCAACGATACAATCAAAATTTCTGAAATTTGATAGGATAAAAATATTTATTAGCTAAAAAGCATGATGTACAAGTGTCCACTTGACAAGTGTTGAGATAGTGAAAACAATAGTAAACTGACTGATAAATTCTATAGAAGAGACATTTAAGAGTGATTTGGTGAATTACCTACTTAAAATGGAAGCAAACAAGAAGATGAAACTTAAGACCAAAGTAAAATAAGATTAGTTCGTTATTATCACTCGTGCACGCCCCTTTTATATATTTCACTAGTCAGTTCATTTTCGTCCTCACCCTCTTCACTCTTGCCGAGTGGATACTCATCTATCTCGCCTCGTAGCTAATAACGATTTCCACCTGATCAAATTTTAAACTCTTACATCCATGTTGACGTTAGTTATTTAGTATTTTTTTTTTCCATCTTTAGAAACCATTTCTGGAAGAATTTATCACTTATGTCACAATCCTGTTGTACTCAACGACAGATGGCTGTAAACTTTAGTAAATATAATACGATTGTATAGCCTATCAGCATAACTTCATTTGTGAAGAAAGTTTTTTTTGCTGAATTTTCGTTTATTTTCTCCGTGACCCAATGAATATTTCTGGTCTTTCAAATACATTGAACAATTGAAATTGGGCAATAGATTTTCAGTTCACAGTGCACTGAGATGCCACATGCTTACAATATTTATCTGAGTATATCTTCAATGTCTGTCACTGCAGGCATTGGTAAATTGTAAAATAATCAACTCATCCTAAAAGATTTCTGGAATATTAAACTCATCAATAATTAATCACTTAAATTTGAATTATTCGGATAACAATAAATGGTTCATATGGTTGCTTATTCTCATTTGAGACATGAAAACTAAGTTTCTAGATAAGTGAATTTGCTATATATGTCCAAACCAAGTTCACTTCTTACAGTTTGAAAAAAATTTGGGCATTGGGCGTGTGATATTCATTGTAATAAAGGTTTTTATCTTTCCCAATGAATGAAAAACAAAACGATATCGTTTTTACTGACGTTTCGCTATTTAATGCTAATAGCTTTATCAAAGTATATTAAATCAGAATTTACAAAATCTCAGCATATAAATAACAAAGAGTTAAGAGGTGAGGAAAATAATACTTTGATAAAGCTATTTGTATTAAATAGCGAAACGTTAGTAAAAACAATATCGTTTTTTATTGAATTTGAGATTTTCCCATCGACTGACTGGACCCTAGTGGTCGGTCTCAGGTTGACATGTCTGTCAGCTTCTTGTAAAGATGCTTCGACGATATCTGGGCGTTTTTAATTAGTATTTAATTGGTGGATGGTGACTAGCAGTGGAATCCAGGATGTGCATTTCGTCCTATTTTGGACTCGTCATCTGGATGTATCTGCACTTCTCAGTTAGTGATCATGTTACCACCGAGGCTCGAACCCAGTTACCGAGCCTGCTAGTCGCCATCCACCAATTAAATACTAAATGCCCAGATATCATCGAAGCATCTGCACAAGAAGCCGACATGTCAACCTGAGACCGAGCACTTCGGTCCAATCAATTGACGGGAAAATCAAAAATTCAATTCAATAATTAATATGACCCGTTGCACAAGAGGTGGCTCTCGTGGCCCAAGCGGTCTAGTGGATAACGCTTTGGCGTTTGAAAATATGGGCACTGGGTTCGAGCTTCAGTGGGAACATCATCACTCACTGAGAAATGCAGGTACATCCAGCTGACGAGTTCCAAATAGAATGAAATGCGCATCCTGGATTCCACTGCTAGCCACCATCTATCAATTAAATACAAACATCGTTTTGTTTTTCATTCATTGGGGAATACAAAATCCTTTATTATAAGTGAGTTTCCTAGCTAAACATTGGAAAAAAAACCTAGATATTTTTTCTCAATATGTTGAAGGTGATAATTATTAAGAATAATAAAGTCAATAGCGGGTTTATGAAACAAAGCATGTAAGGCGCATGAGAACACATCATTGTAGTTGCCGAATGCTAGTGTGACAGAATTTTAATCTTACGGCCTTCGATTAAATCCCTAAGAATATATTTCTTTTTCGAACTTTCATGAAAGCTGAATTCAACCAGAAAATTCAGTTGCACTATAGAAGTGACTGATGATCAAGCTGAGATGCACGAAATGTTAACATTAATTTGACCTGCTTATTAGTTAGAACAGAATGAAGTTTTCACTGTCTCCGTGTTAACAAAAAGTCCCATAATCATGGGCCTTTTTATACCATTATGATTCTGCACTAATAGTGAATTATTGAAATTGTTTCTCGTCTAATTAGAGAAATTCATCGAAGAAAAAATTTCCTCCAGACTGTTTAATTCGTAATTTTGAAGGTATACGTTTGCTCAGAAGCCTGTGTTTTGGCTAATTATCTTATATGTGCATACATACAGTATGTACTGTCTTAAGAGTCACTTAAAAATGTATTGAACACAGATCAGTTACAGTGATTTTTCTCTCTCTCTCTCTTCTACGTTATCACCATCAATCTGATGCTAGACTGAGGTAAAAACGTGCAGAGAATAGTCTAACCTTATTATTTTATTCGTTTGCGTTCCCTGTGGAACATACGGCTTCAGGCTAGAGCTCTTAAAGTTTCAAGAGCAGTGGTATCTTTTACTTGATGGGGTTGATAGTCTCATGCCAAGATTATCACCAGCTTAGCGAGGTTTTGGAGCTCGTTGTCTGAGGATCGAACCCTGGACCCCTTGCTTGGTGTTCTACCGGTGGACTATAAGGGTACAGGATAACAAAAGAGATCACAGTATCTCAGAGATTTTGCCTACGACAAGAAAAAACAAAAGCAAGCAGAACACTTTACTGGTAATATTTGCATTTCTCTTTTTTTCTCAGGCAAGAAATGATTACAGTGGAATAGGTTTCTTACTGTATGATTTGGAAAGTAGAAATACGTGTAATGCATTTAGCTTGTTAACTACATATCTGTTTGCTGCTTATTCAAGTTTGAGACAGCTCACTTAGTCTTTACAATAAGAAAATGTTACTGAGTTGCCTGATCCCATATTACTTCGGTAGTCTTTGCTAATCTTTTGTGTACCAGTTATGACTACAGTTTAGCTAGGTCACTCTCAATTATTATGATTTGAAGTATTTTAATTCGTTTCATTAGCCATTTGTGTATGTAATTAAGTACTCATATAATTACAGCTTGCTGAGATTAAAAGCGCTTTTGTCTCTTCGATTGGAGCACATGTTTCTTTATTTGATACCTATCCGCTTATAAGCTGAGATATATATAAGCTAATATTGACCTAATATTCAACGCATACATGGCACCACTGACTGCAACTCATTTTTTATTACTTTGCTTTCTGAGTGGAACATAGGGCTTCAGGCCTTAGCTATGAAGCCTTGGCAGCTTTACGTTTATTTTTACACGGTAGGGTTTCCAGACTCACGCCCAACCTTCCTTGTTAACTGGTACTACTGTCGGCTTGCTAGCTTTACGAGTGCGTCGGTCAGGGGCCAGACGCTGGTTCACGTGCTTGATTGGTGAACAGTCTAGTACTCATCTATCGACTCTAACTCAACGGTATATTTATTCCACAAAATCCATTGTTATATGGCTTTCTGTGATAACTCTATATACAATCGTCAGAATCATTCGTATATTTATCGAATCGTTAGCATTTTTTATGATTTTTTGCAATTATCACTCTTTACTGCTATGAATTCAACCAAGAAATGCATAACTTCATTAAATCATCCGGTTAGGGAATTGAGAAAGTAGTTTTGATGCACTGTATCTTTAAGTTATTTGCAACCTCATTTTTAGCTACATTGTCATTTGTGTATTTAAAAGTAACATAAATAAGAATTATGAATGTTTCTATGTGTATACGGATATTTTTTTATGCAATCTACCAGAAGAATCATAATTGGAACACTTGGTCTTATATCTGTAATCCTTTCGGAGAAATGTGACTCCAACGTTTTATTAACTCCTTCCATTAATAATGAATGTTTCTTTTTGTTTAGCTGAACAGGGTCGAAAAATGCCTATCAAATGGATGGCCCCAGAAAGTTTGCATCAGCGTCGATTTAGCTCAGCAAGTGATGTTTGGATGTACGGTGAGTGTGTTTATTGAAGCTCAGATTAATTGACGTGCCATACCTTTTCACTTTAACCAACTCAGTGTCAGTTATTATTACTTACTGATTCGCTTGGTAGACTTTAAGCATTATCCACATCCTGCTTACTTTGTTACAAATATTTTCACTAAAATTATTGTCCTAATATTCTGTTTCTAATATTCACTTGACTTCTTTAATAAAGCAACCAATGATTGATTGGTGCACTTTACCTACAGCTGGTGAGCCATGCGTTTAGCTTGATTCCACTGTTTCATAAGAATATGCAGCTGAATGCATGTGCTGATTCAAATATTTCTATGGTAATAAGGTCAAAGTGCGTGTGCCAGCCATTTTCTTAGTAGGCATGAGTCTTCTTCTTTCCACGCTTTGAACAGATTCTGTCGGTATGAGTGTGGTTACAATGATATAAACGTATTCACCGCTAGATTTTTACTAGCCTGGTTCTAACAACTTGGTTCTCCTCAGTTTCCACCAGACAAGCTTCATCCTCATGAAAGAACGCTTTTATAACACAACTTTGATAACTATATTCTAAGAAGCGCTACTTAAGATGAACGAGATTTCTGAAAGTATGGAACAGATATTCTTTTTAATGAGACAGGGAAGATGCAAAACATAAAATTTCAAATGTTCGATAATTCCTCTCATTTAAAAATGTAATTCAAGTCCTATCCACTTGTTAGGAGAAGAACATTTCAGGGTACCTATGTAACCACTGAATACACCACGTTTTTTTTTACCAGGGTTTAGTTTCATTTTATATATTTCCAACAGGAAAGCTCCTTTTTTTCCTTATTCAGGTGTCTGTATTTGGGAAATACTGTCCAAAGGAGTCAAACCATTTTCGAACTTAACTAATGCCGAGGCCGTTGAACAAATAGCTCGTGGTGTTCGACTAGAAAGACCAGACAAATGTCCAAGTAGTCTATACGAAATACTCTTAGAATGCTGGAATTCTAATCCAACACTTCGGCCAACATTTTCGATGCTTAAACCCAGACTGAGGTACGTTTGTCCTTGCATATCTATCATGTGACCGCTTTTTCATATCAAGACAATTATTCAGCGATATTACTCGCTGAAAACTGAAACAATTTATAATAACTCAATCGAATTTGCTCAAAAGATCATCCTTTAAAGTTCGATAATAATCTTCCTTTTCATAGAATTCCTTTGCATTACATCGGTGTGGATTTAGAAGTAACAGTCTTTCCTGCATTATTTCAGTATCACCTCTTAGTAACAACCATATTTTACATAAGCCATAATTGAGGAAATTTAGGATTCCCCTAATCTGATCATTGCAAATCAGTCACATTGATACATATTTACCTGAAACAACGTGAATAAGTTAATACTCTTGTTCAGTCTGGTTCCAAACGCTAAATGTCATTGATTAGAGGCAGACGAACGCATTATTATTGGTTCAAGTTAATACAGAAACATGACACGCACAAAATACACAAACATGAATAAAACGATAACAATACAAAGAAATATCAGTGTAACTACAAAAATGAATAATTGGATGTTAGTGAAGCCTCCTAGAATCGAAGAAATGAAAAACAGTGAATACACTAACGACATTGTAAATAATTTTGATCCATTCCACTAAACATTTCCAACCACTGATTCTCATCAACTTCAGGACTTCAGTCAAGGAGTTTATCAATCCCTTGATATGTTAGACCCGGTCACCTCTAACTATTTTCTAACTTCATCTTATTTGCGGAAGAGGGTTCCACATACCACATAACATATTTTCTCTGATCTTTCCTGGTCTTGCGACATCATGCTATTTTCCAGAAGGATATTTCGTTTGATGCTCTAAGTAAGGAAGTTAAGATCATCTGGTATCATTCTCTCTATATTGTTACCGTCTGTTAACTGGTGTATTCTGCCTATACTTCTTAAATGTTCCTCCTTAATCCTTCCTGGGTTACTTAAGAAATGATTTGTCACACTGCAAAGGGCACTAAAACATATCATTAGGGCGAGAGAAATGAAGCTAAAGCAACTCCTTAATACTATTACAGATATACACATGGACTAATTCAAAAAATTAGTGAGTATCAACCTGTCAGACCCTGAGAATCCTCTCCATACACAACTCTCTCCATGCTGAATCTTATCGAGTAGAACAACAAAGCAACTATGGAAGACTGTATGCTCGGACGACAAAGTACAAAAACTCTACAACACCTTATTTAGCATACATTTTGTGTGATGAGAAAAGTATAAGGTAGGAAATTACCAACTTACAGAGGAACTCTTAGTAAACGGTCCCATTTGTTTTTCTTCATTGTTAGATTTTTTAAAGATTATTACCTAATCTAATTTTATATTCATTTCCTTATGGAACAATATTGTTGATGTACATGCCCTATTTTACTTGTTATGCATGTAGTGAGAAGGTTAGATGGAATACTGTACTCCTACATGCTGAAAATTCCATATCTGCAACAAAAATACCGTTTGAAATAAGGCTTTTTTGTATTATAGCATCCTCAATCGACAAGCCTACATAGTTCTATCATTCGACTTAACTTTTTACCTCATGCTTTTTGTTTCATTTCCCTGCAACTGATGATACTTTATCACCCAGTAAGGACGACTGGACACAGACACTAACAGTCTACAACCTCTGACATTTTCAAATACCTTACTTCTAACAGCTACATCTCGCAGCCGTAAAGTAAGGTGGCGTAAACTACTGAAATGTACTCATTTCCTTTGACGGATGACTGGAAATCACGTTTGCACCGAGAAAATTGCACGACCACAAATCCAAGACACCTGCTTTTGCTTTCATGCTTAAATTTTTTCAGTAACCGGCACACTGGGATTTATCAGTTTATTTGTATTCATTTCTTTTTAACCTTTATTTTGTTCCTATCATTTATTTCATTTTGATAGTAATTGGTGGGTTTTCAATACAAATATCAACTTTTAAACAACTATTACCAGAATCAGTATACTATTCTCTTATACAATTATATATATATATATATATATATATATATATATAACTAGTGTCGGAAATTGAAAACAACAGACAATGAAATTAAAGGAGTGCATCTTAATCACTTTTCCTTGAAATTAAACAAAATATCTCAATGACTGAGCATTAATATAAAAGTAACCTTTCATCCGTCGCAAATTTTAAATAAAGCTACACTCAGCTCAATACTAGCTCATCTGATCGATACTGGACATCACGTCAATTCTACCAAAGCTTCTAAGGTTATTTATCGTATATCACCCATTCTGTCGCATAGTCTACGCGTACAATTTTTACATACAGCAGAGACAATCTGAATTCATCTGAACAAGGCAAATCTGTGTGTTCAAAAGAAGTTGCAAATGATTCACATTTACAAAATTAACGCTCATCAGTCTACTATAGACAGCTGGAGACTGAAGTTTTCCTGCTTCACATTATAATATACTTTAAATCATGCAATCGTGGAACCTTAATTCACAGGAAGACTATATATATATACATATATGAACATGGATAAAGCACGTTAATTTTTATTCGACTCAGGTTGGAGTTTTTGCCATCAACTAGATAAACATCAGTGTTTGATGCGATTGAATGTATGTACACAGTCTGTACGTGTAAAGTTTAGGTATCTTGTACAAAGGAGGATGGCCGTTCTCTGTTATCCAGCATAAGTAACTTGATATGCTTACACTATTTGCTACTAACAAACCGAAAACTTTGTAAACTTCCTAGAAGACTATGAAACCAGATGACATAAATGCACAAGATGGTATACACAAATCACTGACTAGTCCACAAAGATGCACTTTGTTTTGTTTTATTTTTATTTTCATTTATTTTGAATATAAGCATATCAATGAATTCCATTTCTAAGTGAATAAGTAATAAGTGTTGCAGTTTATCACTCTACTTTCGTTGGCTGAGACAATTTGTGATTTTGTAATAGATGCACTTCAAAAAAAAACAAGGCATAAACAGTATGCTCAAAAACATCAACTAGAAGTTTAGCTCTCAAGGGTTTTTTTTGGTATAAACACTCTTAGAATTTAATTCATTCATAGTTCAGTAGGTTGTATAATGATGTTTACACTGACAATAACAATATTTGCCTCTTTTTTGAAAACAATAAATATTGTCCCAGTACTAGAGATATTTATTATAATCTATGTGAAAATAATCTTTTACAGCGCTGAGAAGAATAAAAGTATATTGATAAATATATACTATGCTAAATTTAAAACACTTCAAATCTTCCTTCCCCATAAGGTCAAGATGGCACTTAAATTTGTGTGAAATGTACATATAAATGTTGTTAACGTCTTGTGTATGATGTACTGACATAGTAAACAAAGGAGTGAATGCTAATCAGAACAGTTTTACTCAGGTTACTGAATACACATTCAGTCTAATGAATTTGAAGAGCTATATATATATATATATATATATATATATATATATAAAGAATACATTTGGAAGGATTCCCTAAGTAGTAAGTTCAAAAACTCAGTTTACATTCGAGAGATTCAAGTCTGTGGGTTACATCTCGATGAATATTTGTTTCTTTAACATCGATTGGTCGATATGAACTTCGGTGGGAAAAACTCTTAGAGAAACATTTTCATACATTTTCAGTGGCTACGAACGATATTCAAAAGGTTTATAGGTAACTGAGATGCCACTACTGTAATTTCTTCTCATCCCTAATGCTAGATGAGTTCTTTCTGCCATGCCTGCAAATGCAATAACTGAACTAGAAGACTGGACATCATGTTGCTTCTTGAATTGATGCTAGCTGGTTGTATTCGATTACCATAATTTCTCAAACCTTGTTTTCGTATTTATTGTCACTCTGTTAACAAGACGAATCTGCAGTCTAAAAGTAATAAGTGTTCTATGTGAGATTGAAACCTTATCAAACAGCATCCTAACATTTAAGTGATAATTTCTCCGACTTAGTTTTAAATATCAAAAAGGAAAAAAATCCCTCCGATTTTTGCGTAGGTACACAATGAGGACAAATCGCATAAAGCAAGAAACCTAAGTCTAGTGATTCCTGCAAAGTGCCTCCACTTAGAAGTTCATACTTGAAAAGGCATTCGACAGCGTCTATCAAGAGGTGATTTGACAACTACTTCGCTACTACGGGGTCCCATCGACAATTATGCATCTCATCCAACAGTTATACGACAATGCTGCAGGCCAAGTAATCCACAACGGGAAATTTATGGAATCCTTCGAAGTGAGGACAGGAGTGAGGCAAGGCTGTTTACTATCGCCAATGATTTTCCTGATCGCGGGCGGTGGATTGGATAATGCGAGAGACAACGGGCAATGAGGAAAAGGCACAAAATGGACTCACACAAAAACAATTGGAGGATCTGGACTTCGCCGATGTGATGTATATGTCTGATTTCCCACCAACTGGAAGATATGCAAGTGATGAAAAGCAACAATCTGGCAGAAGAAGCATCAAAGATAGGACTTCGAGTGAACATAGATAAAACAGAGGTGATGAAGACTCTTGGCCAACACCAACAGCAACAACAACAGACGACAGTCAGCATAAATGGGAGGAAGCTGAAAGAAATAACCTCCTTTACCTAACCACCGACCTGGGAAGCATCGTTTCAACTACAGGTGGATGGAACTGACGAGGATATCAAAGCCAGAATCAGAAAAGCAAGACAGGCTTTCATTACCCTGTGTGGAGGTCAACATCACTCAGCATCAAAAATAAGATCCGGATTTTCAACTCCAATGTGAAGCCAGTCAGTGCTACTATACGGATCAGAGACTTGCACTGCGCGTCATAAAGTGCATCTCAAACAAACTTCAGACCTTCAATAACAGTTGTCTTCGCTCACTACTCAAGATCAGATGGCCGGCCAGAAAATATCAGAAACAGGGATCTCTGGCAATGAGCGAACCAAACACAGCAGGAACCGAATGTGAAACAAGTAGGCATGAAGAAATGGAGATGGATTGGATTGGCCATACTCTGAGGAAAGCATCAAGTGACATCACTAGACAAGTCATCGCTCGAGTGGAACCCGAAAGGGAAGCGGGCGGCGAGTTGGTTGTCAGTGAGAGGGCGACTTGGAGGAGGTCATGTGAAGAGGAGATGAAAGCATGTGGGCACACTTGGAGCTGGGTGAAAACGCTGGCAGAGGCTCGAACGCAATGGAGACGCGCAGCTGAAGCCCCATGTTCCTCTGGTAATTAAAGGGAATAATAATAATTGAAAGAAACATTTTTCTTTGTGAACATTTCTTTTCAATTCGTAAAGTCTGTATCAGTATTAGCTCACTACCTGCTTCATGCCCACTGCATGTTTCTTCTATGATTGTGTTACTGATGACACAGAGACACTCAGAAACAATTTTGATTAGTTTGTTAATATTCAATACAAAGTGTTAAAATAAACCTGCTTTCATACCAAGTCCATAACAAAAGTATATCACCATGTTAGAGCATTTTTCCTTCTTGATGCCTTAGGGATGCTCACAAGTTGGAATAACAGATTTTTTCCATTTGTAAATATCATAGTCAATTTCTTTTCCATCCTTTCATCTTGTGAATGTAAACAACAAGCTTTGTTTCAGGTTACTTTTTAAAGGTAGAATGACAGCAAAATGCATTTAATTCACCTTGCAGTGAATTTATCACCACAAAGTTTCCATTTTAGCACGATGTTTCTATAAATACGCTTTCAATGTATCAAACAATCACAGAAATTAAGCACATATCACGTATTCCTTTGGTATTGTACAACATTTAGATAAAAAATGGCTTCAGACAAAAAATAAAATTAACTGGGGGTTTACATTAATCATGTAAGCAAAGTGTAGACATAAGGTATAAAAACAGAAGTAATTCTGCATTATCCGAAGCCATTTCTGAAATCAAAACAGCTCTCAGATACCATTAAAAAATTTGTGATTAACTCATATAACACAATACTTTCAACCAGTCGGTTTGCAGCACGGTCGACTAGTACAAGTTTCTTTATGTACGTGAGAGTATATCCTGCTTTTGACTGAATATCAATGTGTTTTAATTTAGCCATTACAGGGTATTCAGAAATGTTATTAGAAATCATAGAGAAGATTTGTAGCTGAGGTTGAATGGGGAAATTACTTAGTGTTCTATGAACTAAGATATTTGACTGTGAAAGCTTCACCATCGGGGCTAGCAATGATTTTGTTCAGTTTCAAGCACTTGTTGTTCTTTTGTCAACTGCCCTATGGACAAGAAATACTGCTTTTTTATTGTCACCCATTAAAAAAATATTTAACCACAGTGTAATTGTTCAATGGAGCTAATCACCCGTATTTATCATAATTGCCGTTTTTGCTTCTTATTTATTATTCATTTTAGAGAATTGGCTGCACAGTACAAAGTGTCGTCAGAACCAGTGTATTTAAATTGTGGTAAATTTGACAGTCATTTTTTACTAGTCGCCTGTTTCTATTTATTATTGCTACTGTTATTTTAAAAAACAAATTTTCTGCCAGTTTGTTATAATTGACCTTTTTATGAGGTGAATGCCAGTGAAAACCTTCCGTTTAAAATATCAATAGATATCAACAGTGTGGTCTTCCAAACGGATAACCTGTCAAAACAGTGACTCAGATATCTGTTCTGATATATTGTTTAACGATATGAATATACAAATCATATTTATATTCTTATGTCGAATAAAGAAAATGCTACGGTTCAGTTAAAAGGTTTCACTTTAAGTCACCTGCGTATGTTTGACACTGAAATTAGCAAATGGAGGCAATACATATCTGAAAATATTTTTCGGTGACAATACACAAATATTTGCGATGCAACATTATCCAACCAAAAGCTTACTTCAACTGGATGAGAGATTAGGAAGATTCCAAAGTGGTTTGGAAACTGTTTCAAGACTATAAGGTGCAAATCTTCATCAACATCAAATGATAACGGCACGTGTGTGGTGATCCACAACGGAAAAGTCAGTGAAGAGTTTGAAGGAAAACAAATTAAAACAAAGCTGGTCAATATCACTGATGACGTTCGTGATTGTACCACAGCAACGCGCATAGTGTGGGAAGCGAGGAGGCAGGAATGCATAAGGCTGATAAGAGGACTCCAGGAGATGTGGAATTCACAGACGATTTATGTACACTGTCACAAACTTGAGGATCTAAGGGAGGAAATCATCATGTTGGCAGCAGAGTCAGGCATTGAAGACAGAACTTCAAGTGAACATAGGGAAGTCAGAAGTGATGAAGACTTCTAATCAGCCTACTAGCAATGTTAACGTACATCGATCACTATCAACGGAGTCTTTTTGAATGACACCACCTCCTTTACTTATCCGATCAACATCGTTTCAACCACAGGCGGAACAGTCGACGACGTCAAAACCGAGGTCAGGAAGAGTAGACAAATCTTTACTTATTCTGAAATCGTCGTGGAAATCCTCTACATTCAACATAAAGAACAAGATTCAGATGTTCAACACCAATGTCGAGTCGTTTCTTCCTCTGTATGGATTTGAGACTTGGTTCGTGTATCAGTAAAATGTATTTCGAACAGGCCACTACCTACTTTCACCAACAGCTACCCTCTCTCCATGCTGAGGATCAGGTAAGCAACAAAGAACTCTGAGGAAAAGCCGACCAAGCAACTTCAACTAAAATAATATCCTGAAGGAAATGGAGGTGGATCGGACACACGCTGGGAAGACGGTTCAGTAACGTCGCACACAACGCAGGCGCTCGAGTGTAACCCGAAATGGAAACGAGAAGTTGAGAATCCGGTAGTAACATGATGGAGATTACATGAGGAGTAGATGAGAGTATTTGGTCAGTGGCAAAGCCAAATGAAGAGGACTTTAGAGAACAGGATGAAATGGTGGTGTGCTTTTGAAGCCTTGTGTCCTACTCGGGACCCGCGTTAAAATATCTTAAGTGTCAGGTGTGGTGAGAGCAGGCCGTGAGAAAATATGAGCAAGGCTGATTCAACAACCAATCACAGCAAAGTTAACGTGGCAAAATATGATTCGCAGATAGAGAACTCTATTTGTTGAGGGATCCCGAAACAACCAATCAGAAGCCTGCGTTTGTCTGCCTAACTTCTGATAAACAACCAATCAGATGACTGCGCTTGTCTACTTGCATAAGCTATAATAATGTATGTGAAATATGTATAAATACGTGTTGATTTTCATAATAAAACGATCTGTTGCCTGGCTCTTGTCTTCTGTTGTTACACAGGTAAAGAAAAAACTCACACACACTATATCGCACCTGAAAATGAATACATACCAAATATTGTACTATAAGCTACTTTCATTTGATTGCTTGCGCATGATTTATTCGTAAATGTGTCGGATATTACGATCAAAAGGGTCAGTCTTAATCTGGGAACACTCATAATTGAGTCACATTTTGAAATATTGCAGTATTTTTAATTCATTAACTAAAACGAAGTACGTAGTTGAGCGAAGAGTCTTTTTTCAACAAAGTGATTTTCCCCTTTGGGTGAAAAAGTTTTCATGAAAGAAAGTAGTAACAGAAGTGATGAGCTAGCATAATCATAGTTGCTAAGATTATTTAATTCATAAGGAGAGTTAAATAATTTAACGAATGCACATTGAAACGGAAGAAAATATGGAATTCTATAAGAGTTCTTAAGAAATACAGGAGTTATGAGGAGTTTGAAAAACAAATAAACAAAAGTTAAGTTAGTATAAATCAACAAGATTGTTACCATGATAGTTGAATTGGTTAAATAATTTTCTTTTAAATGCATAGCTCCGGTTTTTCGAAGTGAATAGCTAGAGCCTCATCAACGAAAAGAAGACGAAAACATATTGCCTTCAGCAGGTTCTTCTTCACTTTGTATATTACTCTGAAGGAAGCGTTTGTTGAGATGGAATCACCAGTGTTGACAAAGTGTTAGATTATCACACTCCTGATGGAACTACAACTGCCTTTCCGTAACCATGCGGGATAGTATTCTTGAACCTTTTTAGACAGGATACGTGTCGAAAGACCAATATACCTGTTTAGGTGTGTATAAATGCGATTTTACAGTTAAAAAAAACGAATTCACCGAAAAAGGGTCTCTTCGCTGAACTGCGTGTTTTGTTTTTGTTAATATCTGGATAGGGATTATTAATGAATTGAAAAGTAATGATTCATCAGTCGGTACTTTGAGTTCCATCACCCGGTGTATATCGATATAAGCTTATTTCACTCCTTTTTCACCCACAGTCACATCCAGATAAAAAATTTAAAGTATCACTGAGACAAAGTAAAACGCTCAAGATTTACAGAATAAAACAATTTTTGCTTCATTTCATATGTTTTTGTCAATTGAAAACTATCCAAAGTTACATACTTTAATTTAGGAAATGATAGTAGAAAAATGGCTCCAATAAACCAGAATATTCAAAGAATATATATCACAGTTTTCATCGCAACTTAACATACATTTATAAGCACATACTTACTATAGTTGCCGGCGGAAAGGATTAGAAATGAGAATGAGCATTACATTCAATTTGGAACTTACTACATCTCAGAGAGTAATGAAGTTCCTACTTAGAACTTAAACCCAACTCTTGATGTTTCAAGTATCAAAGTGTTGTCCATTAGATTAGCCATAATTAACCAAGTAGCTTTATTTTCCTTCTAAAATGTCGTCTCATTTTCCATACTAGTCTCCGACAGAGGCTAATCACTTAGTTCCAGTTAAATCGAACGACAGAAAATCTGCTTATCGCTCTTTTACATTATTGTGCATACTTTGTTAATAAAAGAGAAGACTATTTTATATGAGCTGGCGCCCAAGCATAATTAAAATCCAAGGTTTTGCGTAGAACGAGAATTTCAGACTACTTCTGATTACAGTGTATTCCACTTTAACCAACTCTCAGTTAGCAGATATGTATTTATAATAACAAAAACGATATCCTAAAACGAAGCAATTATGTATGCATAAAAGAATTTTTCGGCATATTTACTAATAACTATTGCTGATTTTCACTTCCAACAATTGGAAAAAAAAGAATGAGTCTTTTGTTGAGGAAATCGCATTTTCCCGCCAGAAATAAGTGCAGCAAAGTCAAACAAATGACAAATTGGGGGATTAAAGTCAATGCAAAATTGATTATTTCTTTTTCGTCATGATTTACAATCATATAATTAAAATTACCCAGCATAAGCATTCAGTTATATATATATATATAAAGCTTGATTCAAAATTACTCAAAAAGAAATATCTGACTAAGCTGTGTTATCTAATTATCATAATGAGAATATTTAAGTGACAAATCACCTAAGGAAGTAGTATATAAATTATGTTTGCATTCGCACTAAACAGTTGTGATTTTGTTTCCTGATATATTTGTTTGTGCATTCACAATACAGGCAAAATGCATTAATATTTTTTAATATGATAATAATTCCCTGAACTCTGGGTTTATAAATGATAATAAGGCAACTGAAGAACATAATGTTAACTCCAAATTACTCAGTGAGTTGGCTGAATGAAAAGTACTTTACTCTGATGGTTTTCCATCTGGCATTTTATCGCTCCTCCTTTCGTTGTGATGTTCTGTCACTCTGTTAAAAACGAATCGTTAGATTACATGACAAGGAGGTCTAATGTGTTTGTGATATAATATTAAGAAATCTGAGCATCATGTCATAATAACCAGCTTGCAGTGATCCTAGACTCTGAATAATCACAGATCATTCCTACTATTTAGTGTAAATATTTTTCAGGCCTATAAGAATTTATTTTTGACTGAGTCCTTGTGACGTAATTTGTTAAATTTAGATTCAAAGTATTTCGCTTGCCAAACACTTTCTAAAGTCTCTACTTGAATTCATACAGCTAATGGGTTATTGTGTGCTTTTTTTCTCTGTTTTAGCTGCCTCTGATAACCAAAACGGTCAGCCAAATGTGAGTGGTAACTATCAATCTCATAGTTTTAATGATTGAATACGAATACAGTTCCAGTATTATTAATCATGTACATTCAGTGGTGGCTGTAACTCCGTTTGCCTATTAGTTGCGATCTAATGGTTGTCAGATACAATAATTGATCAGATGACTAGACTATAACAACTCGTAAATGTAAGGCAAAATCACTCAGATAGTTTGCAGCTGAGTGTACACATTCTAAAGAATTTCCAAGTAAATTTTTTACTTCCTACAAAATTCATATACTGGTTGTATGAATTATGAGTGTCAGGAAAGACAAAAGACAATATTATGAAGCTATGGGAAGTGAAGCAGAACAAGCTGCAGACAAAGGAGACCTCGCCACACTCTACCAAACAACTAGGCACCTACCTATCGGGAAAAACTTCAACACGAATTAAGCTAGTGAATAATGACGATGAGAGGTCAATCACCAAAGAGATGGAGCAAAGGAAACACTGGGCTGAACACTTCAAAAGACTTTTAAATCGACTGCCACTTACGACGCGCCCAACAATACCGACAACGGAAGCAGAAATACCAGTGAACATCAACCCCCCAACGAGAACACAAGTCCTGAATACAATCAAGATGCTAAAAGCTGGAAAAGCAGCAGGACCAGATGGAATCCCAGCAGAAGTATTGAAAATGGACCCAGAGACAACATCGGACTTGATGCCACCACTACTGGAGAAGGTGTGAAAAGAGGGCAAGGTACCCGGGGATTGGAAGGAAGGATACTTATTCAAACTACCAAAGAAAGGAGATTTAAGTCAATGCAAAATCTGGAGCGGAATTATGCTTCTCTCCATTCCAAGCGAAATACTAAGCCGCATCATCATGGAGAGCATGAAACAAGCCCTAGATGAAAACTTCGACCGGAACAGGCCGGATTCAGTAGAAACAAATCATGTATTGATCAAATCGCCACTCTACGGATCATCATTGAACAAAGCTTGGAATGGCAGTTATCTCTCTATCTCAACTTCATCGACTTTGAAAAGGCCTTCGACAGCGTCTATCAAGAGGTGATTTGACAACTACTTCGCTACTACGGGGTCCCATCGACAATTATGCATCTCATCCAACAGTTATACGACAATGCTGCAGGCCAAGTAATCCACAACGGGAAATTTATGGAATCCTTCGAAGTGAGGACAGGAGTGAGGCAAGGCTGTTTACTATCGCCAATGATTTTCCTGATCGCGGGCGGTGGATTGGATAATGCGAGAGACAACGGGCAATGAGGAAAAGGCACAAAATGGACTCACACAAAAACAATTGGAGGATCTGGACTTCGCCGATGTGATGTATATGTCTGATTTCCCACCAACTGGAAGATATGCAAGTGATGAAAAGCAACAATCTGGCAGAAGAAGCATCAAAGATAGGACTTCGAGTGAACATAGATAAAACAGAGGTGATGAAGACTCTTGGCCAACACCAACAGCAACAACAACAGACGACAGTCAGCATAAATGGGAGGAAGCTGAAAGAAATAACCTCCTTTACCTAACCACCGACCTGGGAAGCATCGTTTCAACTACAGGTGGATGGAACTGACGAGGATATCAAAGCCAGAATCAGAAAAGCAAGACAGGCTTTCATTACCCTGTGTGGAGGTCAACATCACTCAGCATCAAAAATAAGATCCGGATTTTCAACTCCAATGTGAAGCCAGTCAGTGCTACTATACGGATCAGAGACTTGCACTGCGCGTCATAAAGTGCATCTCAAACAAACTTCAGACCTTCAATAACAGTTGTCTTCGCTCACTACTCAAGATCAGATGGCCGGCCAGAAAATATCAGAAACAGGGATCTCTGGCAATGAGCGAACCAAACACAGCAGGAACCGATTGTGAAACAAGTAGGCATGAAGAAATGGAGATGGATTGGATTGGCCATACTCTGAGGAAAGCATCAAGTGACATCACTAGACAAGTCATCGCTCGAGTGGAACCCGAAAGGGAAGCGGGCGGCGAGTTGGTTGTCAGTGAGAGGGCGACTTGGAGGAGGTCATGTGAAGAGGAGATGAAAGCATGTGGGCACACTTGGAGCTGGGTGAAAACGTTGGCAGAGGACCGAACGCAATGGAGACGCGCAGCTGAAGCCCTATGTTCCTCTGGTAATTAAAGGATATAATAATAATATAATAATAACAGATCAAGCTATAGGAATGTCGACATCGTATAGAGGAGTAATCTAAATTGCTTCCTTCATGTCTTTTAGCACGTTTGGTAGTCTGAGGAAATAAAGTCTTCAACTCATCTAAAACTTAGATTGGTTGGTTAATTGCTTTTGTGCAATACACGTATTAGTTCTTCATCTCTCTCTCTTTGATTAACTTTTTGCGGATTTAGAAAACATTTCAAAACCAACTTAAAATCACTTTAGCACCTCCACAACCACCGAAGCAGTCCACAACCAAAACATCAACATCCTATATGAACCTACAGAGTCGGTGGGATGAAGTCAGTAGGCTAAGTTGGAATAAAATTGATATTCCAATTGGCAAACGCCTGCCAAGTGCTTCAGAGCAATCAAACAGAAGTAACAGTATTGCATCCTCTTCAAGCTGTTGCTTAGACATTGATCTAAATTCAAATTTACAAGGAAATACGTTAGTTAATCATGAAATTAAAAGAACGAACTCCATACGAAATGCCTCCACTTCAACAGTGAATTCATCAATCCTGGATTCAACAAAAGTATGTTCCTTTAAGTCTGTTATTTAATTATTCTTAGCATTTTGACTTGCTGTTTTAGTAAGTAGCAGATTTGGGTTAAGAGTAATATATTCAGATACGGCATGATTTGATTTTTATGAATCTTGAGAAACGGCTCACAATGGCTTTTGTGTTCATCAGTGACTTCTAAACAAATCCTGTTTATTTGTACCTAAAGTCATCTCATCACTGTACGTCATCTGGGATAATTAGATCCTAAAAGCAGATAAACAATACATAAAACAGCGTTATGAATAAGATTTTAGTCTGATAAATCACACAGTGTTGTACAGTAATATTAACTGATATGATTATGAGCAATAATTTGTGGTGTGTGACTTCTCAAAATAAAATCTTTTCTATAATGGAGTTATACTCTACCACAGTGCCCAAGCTATATAGTTATATCAATGATGCAGAAAACGGATGTAGCCTTCTAAGGTTCTGTAAGATTTCATAGTAGTAATTATTGTTATTGTTCCCTTAGGTTCCCAGTGGAACATAGGGCTTCAACAACACATCTTCACTTTGTTCTATTTTCTGCTGTTCTCTTTAGCTGGGCTAGTGATTTCACATAATCTCTCTTCTCTTCGCACGACCTTCTCCTTGTCGCTTTTGGACGCCTCAATCGTCATTTCCCATTTGAATTCCACAAAAGAGCCTGTATTGTGTACGACGTCACTGAATGGTCTTCTCATTGTATGTCCTACCCATCTCGTTCTTCGTTGGAATATATCTTGAGCAATGGGTTCATTTCGCCATTTCTTTTGACCACCTGATCTTCATAATGGCACGAGCAAAGGCAGCTGCTGATAGAAGTCTGAAACCTGTTGGAATCGCTTTTCGTGATGCACACACCAAGTTGCTGACGCATATTGAATAAGTAACTTAACATTCCTGTGGAAAATCCTAATTCTATTCTTATGCTGAATTCAGATTTTCAAAGTGATTTCAATGTAAAGAAAGTCTGTCTTGTCTTTCCTATTCTGGTTTCAACACTTGTAGTTGAAACGATGCTGACAAGATAATTGAGGCAAGTGACCTCGTTGAAATTTACCCCACTGATAGTGAGTATTGAACGTTGTCGTAGTTGGTTGGTTAGGAATCTTCATCACTTCTGTCTTCTCTATGTTCACTTGAAGTCCTGTCTCCGCTGCCTGACTCTCCTGCTAACATGCTGGTTTCCACCCTTAGATCTTTTAGTTTGTGAAAGTGTACATAAATCGTCTGCGTATTCCACATCTTCTGGTGTCTTCTTATCGACCTAGAGTATTCCTGTCTTCTCTGTTTCTTGATGGGTGAGCCGCATAATCTATTCCATCACAATTAGAAATACCATCGACGACAGTGGACAGCTTTGTCTCAGTTTGTTTCTCTTCAAAGCATTCACTGACTTTTATGTTGTGAACCCCCAGGCACATGCCAATGTCATGTAGCTGTTGAATAATGTTGATAAAGATTTGGGATGCACCATAGCGTTGAAGTATTCTCCAAATTTCTTCGCAATCAACGCTGTCTTAGGCCTTTTCAGAATAGATGGACTCTAGGTAGAGATTTAGCTGTCATTTTATGCTCTGTTCGATGATGATACACAGAGGTGCTATTCGATCGGCTCATCATTCGCCTTTCCTGAGTCTGGCCTGTTACGGACGGAGTTCTGCATCAAGAGCATCTTTTATTCTCTTAAGCTTGACGTGGATTAATATTTTGTGGGTCGTCGATAGGAGCTTGATTCCGTGTCACCCTTTTCAGAGGCCTGTGTAACCCTTCTTTGGCAGTTTCACAAGCTAGTATTTCTTCCAATTAGTAGACACCTTTCGATACTTCCGAAATTCTTTCAATATTGGCGTAAGCATATCCACTGTGACCACCTTTGGATCCATCTTCAGTACTTCTGGAGGATTTCCGCCTAGTTTATTAGTTCATTAGTTTTCCAGTCAATCCTAACCCCAGAGTAAAAGAAGGAAGGCTGGGCGTAATGCTAGAGATCCTACCAGGAAAATCAACCTAATCACTACAGAAACTTCAGAGTAAAATATAAAAAAGTCCTCCGTCAGACAGTCGCCACTAAATATGTCAAAAATGATTTATGAGTTCAAAAATGAATGCATCTTTTGGTTTCAATTTTGTCGAAAACGTATCTTCCTTATTCTTTTCTTATTTCATCAAACAACTCAACCAAAACAGACTTGAAGTTCCATAATAACATGTAGATTTAAGCATTAGTTTACATATCTTTAGTCTCTTCTTACCAAAACCATTGCTTCGCAAACAGCTAAATAATTAACACATTGTGGCTTTGTAATACACAATAAGAAATGAGAGAAGTTCAAATCTGCAGGAAATGAAATAAGTAAGGTTGATGACTTTTTACTTCTCCGGGACTTATATATTTATATATATGCCATGGTGGGTCAAATGTATTTCGATTCATTCTGTGCCAAAAGGAACATAAACACCAAGTCATATCATTCCTCAAAAAGTAATGGAAGTACAGACGATAGCCCAATTATTCATGTACTCTAATTTCTACATATATTACTGCTACATAAAGATTATGACAGGTAATAATAAAAATTTAGTCTATTACTTGTTCATGTATTAATGACATTAATGACATACAGCCGGGTGCAATTATATATTGTTCCTCACTGCTTCACCATTCTATGATGCAAAAGACTTATTAAATTTCATTTTTGACGTTTTGTCACCGAATTAAATGTGAGCAATTGCTGTTGAATGACCACACTTACTTACTTAAAATTACAGTAGCCTGTAAGCTCATTAGCAATAATACTTCTTTGCTTTTCATATACAATATTTTCATTATGTAATTGTACAACAAGTGCTAACAGAGGTAGAAGAAAATTGATTTTTTTCCACTGAGTTAACTAGAAGTAGACATAAGACTGCATGATATGAGGCAATGCTACCATTGGGACACAAAGTTGAAACACTAACGGTCTGCAACTCACTTATTACATCCTTAGTATTTTCTTGCATGTATACAATTCTTACCTACACAAATATTTTCATTTCTTGATAACAGAGCACAGTAACACTGAGAAGAAATTCACCTGAAAGCTTACTACGGAAATCATTCCCCAGTTCACCACTTTATAATAATACAACAAAGAATTATGATTTCGTAGCAGATTCTCGCAATACAAATAATCGTAGAAGTAATAACTTCGAGACAAGACATAAACCAGAAGTGAGAAGAAGGACTTCCCTTTTCCGAAAGGTTAGTAAGCGGTATACTGTCTGATTTGTTGACTCTGGTTTATTGAAAAAACAGAACATTGACTAGCTGGTGTTGCCCAGTATTAGGTTGTGTGACTCTTTCTACTTGATATATGCTACAGCATCGTTTGCATCCACTTGCTGTCATGTCATAATATTCTTATCGGACGTCACAACGAATTTGCATGTGAAAACGATGTCATCAGATCTCAGACTGACTGCTGAATAGTAACTTCCATACATCGAGACTTTATGGTAGGATGTCTATTTTTTTAAAGTGTTAAACTAAGAAGAAGTCATTTTGTTCTCCTAAGTCATCACTAATTCTAGGCGATGTCCGTTTATGATGTAATGCATCGTAAAATGTCTCTACTTAAATTCTCAAGAGACCAAACCAATCTTCCGCTTCGAATGCGGGGCATATTGAACTTACCGCCTACGTTCATTAGTCTGGAAACTTACCCATCGTCAATGAACGTTTCTCGTAAGTAATAAAAGTTCGAAATACATCGGATAGACAGAATTTTTGTAATAGTCTGTGAGGCAGTTGATCTGATCAGGCAAATTAAGGATAGTTTTAATTTTGTCGGTAACAGTCAAGACCGAATTGATGTATTTAGTGTGAAACAAATCCTGAAGAAAGAATCATCTGCCTGTACAATAGTAACATTCACAATGTCAATTATATAATTATCTTACCTGATGAAGAGTCCCAAACTAGGACGAAACAGTTGTCCAGTACTCGCAGGTTTTCCAATGGTTCTCTAACAAATGTTAGCTCATGATGAAATCCTGTAAGCAATCAAATCCCTACAAACCAACACTTGAATATTTTACCTTATATTTATGATGAAATTGGAACTTAAAGTCTTCGCTGTGTTAAAAAACCAAGTTTTAAAATTTACATCCACCTCACTGTAGTAATAAAGACTGGAGTTAAAATAGAAGCACGACGTAAAAGAGGCTAGGCATCGTCTGTAGTTATTTTGCCTTAAAATAGTCAAATACTGCCACCCTTAGGAGGAAAAGTCGAGGACTCTGTTAACTACGGAGTAGTGCACTATCATCCACAACATAGGTTTTGTTCACTGGCTGGTCGCCGGGGACTAACCAGTGTCATATGCCTTGTCTTTCGCACGACAATCAGTCACAAAGTTTTGTTACTACATTGTAAAATGTCTGACAGAATTCAGACAGCACTTCTAAGGACCAAATACATGACATCAAGTACTCGCTAGAGCTTGATTTACGCAACCACTACAGTCCTACAGAAGTCTGAACGTATGCCGGAAAATCTCACTGATAACATCTCTCACTGTAGCATCATCCTGTTTTAACTTTTTTCTAGTGGACATTAGTTCCATAGACGATGATGAGTACCAGTAATCTCAAAGTTTAAAGACAGAGCTTCCTGGTGACTGTTTTACACCCAAAAAAGTATTACCACCGTTAAAAACGGCACAGGCAGTTACTCTACATAAGTCATTCTCCTTATATCACCGAAATTATGGGGTCCAATGTCAAACAGCTCAATTGACAACTTTTACAGATATATATATATATATATATATATATATATATATCGTGTACAGATTTGAGTGATATTCATGCTAACTTTGAAGATTATTCAGTCTTGAAACTTCAGAAATAGTTTCAGGTTCTAGTGGACTCTAGAATTATACATTTACGGAATAGTCATCAAGAGAATGTTTGTGAATAGTAACCCCCGTCAATATACAGTGTGACAGACTTGAATGACACTAGCTTAAAAACCATATGAAAAAAGTCTGGAAGGTATCTGACTATAGTTCAGAAGGAATAGTTATGACTTCTACAGCCGCCACACAGCCATACTCAGAACAAAGTGACTGGAGAGATGTTTTACCTGACTAATCCTAGTATATAGTCTTCCATGAATCAAAATCAAATGCAAAACTATTGGAAATCACTCAAAGTTGACTGACTGTTTTGTCTTAGACTGAAAGTTTAGGGCGGACTGCACTGACAACCCCCTCAAGAAGCGTTTGTTACTATTTGACCACCGTTTATTGTGTATTCTCAAGAGAATTTAACATTCTATGCTATTTCACTAAATTTATTATCCCATATTTTAAAGGTATTTCAATCCGCTAAAAAGCTACTTTTTTCTATATCTTTTTTTTATTCAGACAATGCCGCCAGCTTTGCCTACTCAAAGTAAGTGTTTTTGAAAGAGAACAGTTAATTTTGCCTACTGAGTAACGTTCGCGTCGTCAGTACCAGTGTCTAGGTGAAATTCATGTGGTCTTTTTTCCAGCCTATTGTAATGTATGTCATCAGGCTTACCGAATCATACTATTCGCTGTTATCAGTCTAATGATAACACCTTACATGTTTGCCTGAATCTATTACCAATGTACTAATTTTTCCTCGCTGCTGTACCCATCTTCTTTCGTTTGTCTGAAGAAGAATATCTTTAATAGGTTGATAGAATAAAGAGAGGGTAGAACATACTTTCTAAAGAAAAGTGGAAGAAGTTTACTAATTACATAGATGGGGAAGGAGGGATGCTGAAAGAATAATACTAAATTAATTAGATAACATGTATTTCTTAGTTATAATAATAATAATAATCAGATCAAGATGGACAAAATATCACGACATAACATTTACCAGGATTAAAAGTGTACGTATCATAACTGTCTTGAACCTAGAATATGGGTATTAGTCTAAACATCTGACATTAATAATTGCTAGGGGATGGTTTTTAGGCATTACTACTTAAACAGAGCTAAAGGAATGACTGACCACATAAACCAGCTATGAGTTCTCATTTTCATGCAGCGTATGTGAAGAGCCGTTCCTCAATTTGAGATGAGTTACTAATTGCATCATGAATTGATGAGAAAAAGTTCTAGAATAGTAAAACTACGAAATTACTAATTGTTAATTCACGGATATAGATATGCTTACATTGATCAGTAAAGTGTACAGAACTGGTGTGTGCTTGTGTGTGTGTGCATATGTGTGTATGTGGCAGATATGAAGAAAGCAACCTGAAAACACCTTCATTACTAGTCGTGCCTTTGCTTCACTATACTTTTAAACGTTAAATACATGCTTTTATATGCATATACATGTAAACATTTGCAAGAGTGAGGCTACGTAGGGAAGCAACAGAGAGCAAAGATGAGGAATAGCGACCACAGAGTGTGGAAGTGCCAATGACCTTGAACGCGTACTATTCGTTAGACTATAGTACCTGCAGTGTATTACACATCAAAAACCGTTTATTTACACGAAAACTTAATATGATAATAATGAAACACATGAAAAACGATATTTTACCCTAACATTACTGAAAAATACATCCCAGTTACAATGAAGGGTTTCACTTTTCAAGTGTCGTAGTCATCAAAACGCTTTCATCTAAATGAACAATGGAACTCACTCCGATTTATTTACTGAAAAGAGAAATACAGATAATAATAATAAAACACTTTAATTCTTTCCCTAACCCTAATATCTACCTTAACCCAGAGCGGAATCTTAACCTCATCCCTAATACTAATCCTTAACATGCTATCAACCCATTGTTCGAAAAGCACTTAAAAACGAGATAAGGACGAGATTTGTAAATCAGCTTGTTTACGGCGTTCTGTAATCCGACGATTGTCACGCTTTCAAGGCCACTGGTGCGTTTGCACCCTGTGGTCGCCATTCTTTGGTTTGTCCCAACGGAATATGCTGTTCCATAGTATTTTTATTTTCACAGCTATCCAGTCGCCATTGCTGATCCTTTTTGTCCGCCTATCATAAAAGAATCAAGTTTGTAATACATAATTATATTCTCTATGTTAATTGGCTCCATTAATTGTTCTTGTTATGTATTGCACTGAGTGTTAAAACTTATGTCTTGAAGAGTTTTGCGAAACCCTAGTTTAATTTTCATTATTTTTCAAAATACTACTCCTCGTTATTTTAGTATACGAGTTGAACATTAACGCAAATAATCCTTCAACTTCTGTTCAGTCAAGATATCCCTCAGTAGAACATTATGAATCACAGAGGACATGTAAACCTCGAAGTTATTCCTCAGATGGTGTTCGACTAGCAAGTCGTCAGTTGACAAATACACCTGTCTCACAGTCAATAATACAAAATTCCTGCGATCAAAATGCGAAACTCTGTACGAGTTCTGATAGTAATCGTGTTAATAACACCCTGATTTATTCACACACACCTCGTCAACAATCACCCGTTAGACAAGGTGACAATGCCTACACAGATCCAGTATTTTCATCAACTGTACAAGTTGTGAAGACAGTTAGTTTAGTTAGCCAAAAGATTGCAACAAGTCAACCAGAGAAATATAACGTCCTGATAAAGGTATGTTCTTAGCTTGATTTTTGAGTTGTTTTATTCAAAATAAGAGCTTTTTTGTCTTTTTAAATTTCGTTCAGTATCACTATCGGACGTTTTTGAATATTTTCAGTAAATTAATTGTATTAATGGTCCCTGACAGATAGTGTCTTTCCAATCTACATACCGAGCATCTACGCATCACAAAGATTACTTATATTGTGTTCTATGGGTTAGATGCTGGAAGCTTGCTTCCTCAGGTTAATGGTTTCGGTATACTGGCTTTCAGTCAGTGTTAGGTTAGAATCCTGTTTCGCCTGCGTCAGTTTAAGCGAGAGGTCTGTGTCACGAGCCCACTGATGGCTTATGACCTGGTAAATAAAATTTCTGTTCTGATTAATTCACTTCTAACTAAATAAATAACTTACATGGCGTTTATTATTGCGTTTGAAACGGGCGTAAAACGTAGATAGTAATTGTCTCTTTTGTGTAATCCTTCAAAAGATTTATTTATCGCATTCTCTAAGCACCCGTAAAACACGCGATTTAGAATGAATAGTGAAGGCGTTTTATTATTATTAAACCCATTCAAAACGCAATAAATATGGAATTTTCCTTCTCAAAAGAAACAATAATTAATATTGCATTAAATTCATCTTAAGCGATTAAATCAAGCATAAATAATCGAAATTGAACTGCGGAAGTATCAGTTTGTAATCTGACTCCCGACGAATAAATATTCTGCTTCTTTTATTTCTTATAATGCTACGTGAAGGATGAATTTTTATTCCGCTTTCGCGTACTCATTGCTAAAGTCACTTCAGAATTTAATGAGAGATTTAGTGATATTCTAAACCAACAATGGCTAGTTTTTTCTGATATTAAATAAGATGAAGAACTGAATGATATTCAAGTGTTGGTTTACAAAGATTTAGTTTTATTGGCTACATGGTTTCATCATGCGCTGACATCAGTTGGAGAACCACTGGATAATCTTGGAGTGCTGGGCAGTTGTTTCGTCTTAGCTTCGGACTCTTCATCACTCCGAAGGTTCGGAGCCGGGACGTCCCTTTTACAATTTGATATCACTAGCGACTAACCCTATTCAGAAAGTAGTTACCTGGATTCTGGTGAGAAGTCGTGACCGCTGGGATACAGCAGGTCGGGTGTAAGGACAGATACTCGCCGATGGCATTGGCTAGCGGTAACGCTATATCGTGAATTGGCGGAAGCTGGAATTCATGAGCTATCGGATCGCGTCTCAGTGGCTTAATGGTGTAAAACTCGCTTTGTAACCGGAAGGCCCTAGATGCGAACCCTAATGGGTGCTTACCGCTGGAGAGTCTCAAGCTGGGACGAAACATCTGTCCAGTGCTCACAGGTTTTCCAATTGTTCTGTCACCAATGTCTGCTCCTGATGAAACCATGGAAGTGAAGGAAGTTTGATTTATTATGTCTTATTAGATTTATTGCTGAACAGAATACTTCTTTTTTGAAATATTCTGAATATTTAAGATACGCAGCATGCAAATTAAACTAGTTGAATAAATAAAGTTGGCTTCTTTTTTTCACTGAACTTCGGGCCTTGAAGGTTCAACAGCAGTGGTGTTGTTTTTAGAGGTGTGGCGGAACAGCTTGCCGAACGCCTAGCCTTTCACTAGCAAAGCAGATGAGAATTAGGAGTGAATTAGTCGAAAATCGAACCCCCGACGACGTGCATAGTTGGCGAACATTCTACCACTGAACCGCCAAAACACATGCATGACGTTGTAGTCAGTATATATAATCCAAATTTATTTGTTCTTCTGTACAACACAATAATTACTAGTCATTGCGTATTAGCAAGTAGACAGATGATTGGAGAGTTATTTCGCTGGATATTTTTCTATTCTTTAGCCATATCTTTAAAGTAGTAAACATCGATAATATACACTGGTCTATCTCTGTCAATACCTATGTTTGTTTTACTTTCAGACTATTGGCACGGCAATAAAAGATTTGTTCGCGGCTATTCAAACTGAATTTGGTGAAAATGTCGATAGCGAAGTAAGGCATATAACATTATTCCACCTTATTGTATACGACCTTTTCCCAACCAAAATATAAACCCTAATTTTGCCACTCTAGCATAACTATGGTGGTAAAGAACAACAGACTACCTTCCTACTTTCATCCTAGTCTAATCAAGTATGACGCCATCGTAACTAGTTCAGGTCTGCATATCAAGGCTATGATATTGTGTAGCCCTGTTTAAAGTGCCTACCAACAAAATGATTTTGGCTAACATGTACAAAATGGCTTATTTGATTGGACACTAGTAACTAGTGTGACGTGTCTAGTCCTTTCTTTGGTGCAGACTGAATTCTACTAGTCAGGTTTGCAATGTGGCCACCATTCTGGGTAGCTCGCCATCACGGTGCACATTGATTTGATGATATTAGATAGTTCGAGGCGATCGGCAGGAAGCCTTGAACCTGGGTTGCGTGCTAGTTGGCACTCACCAGTCAGTCAGCAAGGTGTAGCTGCAACTTTGAAGGAACTCAAGTCTCTTCTGAAACTCGAACCCGCGTCACCCAGTGCTGCAGTCAGAGACGTTGCCATTGAGCTATTCGGGTTCGCGATTGACCTCCTGTAGGACTGTAGTGGGTAGTTTAACTGGACATCAGTAACTAGTTTGATGTGACTTATTTGAATCATTAGACATCGAATACGGTTGAGAATACTTACAAAGTCGTTCCCTAATACACTTAATGGTGAGTTTGTTTCAGTCTATTAGGCGAAGAATACAAATTACCGCTGTAGTTGTTTAATCGTAAAAAGATTTAAAACGTTACTTCTCAGCTGGGTTGGCTAAGATCGTCAGCGCACTGATAACTGACCACGAAATGTGAGAGATTTGACGCTTGTAATTTTTCTTTTAAAGTTCCACTTCTAGTTATATCAAGGAACTATGCTACTTATCAAATGATTTTCATACACTAATGAATACGGAAAATGAATACCCTACCGTCTGTTATAGCCTCATTCAAAGGCTATACGATGATGCTACACTGTCAACGAAAAATTCACCGGTGTTTTTGGAAGGAACACAAGTGCAAAACAAAGCTGCTTACTGCCATCCATGATATTCCTGATCACCGCAGACTGGATCATGTGGCATAGGATAGTGAATGAGAAGACAGGAATGTTTTAGCACGATAAGAAGACTCTAGAAGATGTGGAATTTACGGACGACGTATGTACACTATCACAAACTAAAAGATCTAAAGGTTAAATCAGTATGTTGGCAGGAGAATCAGGTAGCGAAGACAGGACTTCAAGTAAACATAGAGAAAACAGAAAGGATGAAGGTTCCTAACTGACAAAACAACCAACAACAACAAGTACCAATCACTATCGACGGAGTCTATTTGAACAAGATCACCTCCTTCACTTATCCGATCAACATCGTTTCAACCACAGGCAGAACAGTCGACGACGTCAAAACCGAGGTCAGGAAGAGTAGACAAATCTTTACTTATTCTGAAATCGTCGTGGAAATCCTCTACACTCAACATAAAGAACAAGATTCAGATGTTCAACACCAATGTCAAGTTGTTTCTTCCTCTGTATGGATTTGAGACTTGGTTGGTGTATCAGTAAAATGTATTTCGAACAGGCCACTACCTACTTTCACCAAGAGCTGCCTTCTCTCTATAGTGAAGATCAGACAGCCAGTCTGAAAGGATAGTCATTAATTAACTTTGGTAAAATGCTAACTAAGAATCTATTATCCGAGAAAAAATAGTTAAGAAAATGGAGGTGGATTGGACACACACTGAGGTGACCATTGGATGATATCCAGCCTCAGGTAATCACTCCAGTGGATTACCGACTGCAAATAGGAGTGTGATGCTATCTGTGAATATTACCAATTGTCAGATAGAGATTTACAGTAGACAAGGTGTCTATCAAGTACCCTTCTTATCAAATCATAACATGAATTCCTCACAAAATTGATTCATAATATCTATTACTCAAATCTTCAGTTATGTATGCATAAGTCTTTATCATCGGACGATGGAAAAGAGTTGCAAGTCGCGTACAATCTCTAGAGGAAAGTGTAGAGTGAAGTATAAACGGCTTTTAACACTAACCACACAACAGCCCAAATACTGAAGTGAAAAGAAGCAGTGAGCAGGCAGTAAGAAACTAAATACTGTGTGAGTAACAAGTAAAGAACATATCTGTGTCTCTACTTGTATTTCTCATAAATTAGTGGCACTGCCTGCCGGGTTGAGTATCACTTTTTGTGTGGTATTCATTTTACAGCCAGCTTCTTTACTGTGTTCAATGAGTTGTTAATTTTTGTGTGGCAGTTCTACCTGAAATAAACAGAATCAACAGAGATGAACATTCAACACAAAAAAAACTAACAATGAGGCTATTTTGTCTGATTTGACCATTTTAAACTTATTTTCATAAAAGATCATTCATTGCATAATGTTCTTTTCTTTTTTCAAAAAAAAAATATCCCAGATTCTTCTAGCTGAACGTCAATTGAACTCTTCTATGTATTCTTTAATATCAACTACGAAAGACGCCAAATTACAAAATAACCGTGGCCCATTGCTAGAAGAATATCGACGACACTTAATGAGTTTAGCCTATGCTATAGCAGCTGATGCACATTCGTTATACACAACTGTGTATGAATATCGTACCAAGCACAACCGAAATTAGTCAAATAATATTAACAATATTCATAATAACACTCATAGTAGAGTAGACATTTTCCCTTTATACGACTGCTTTTGGTAAATATGTAATTTCATACTAATGATTATTCTTTTCGCTCTTAACATTTTAGCTTGTGATTAAAAACAGTGTTGGGGCTACTGTTTTCGATTATTATATTACTGAAATCAGTAGGTTGTACATTTGTAAAAAAATGAAATAAAATTACTAGTAATAAGCACAGCTGTACACCTCATTTTTATTCAACCTTTTGAGGAGGGGGGGGTGGTTACTTCATTTTATTTAAAGTATCGAAGTTACTAAAAATTATGGACATTTATCTCTCAAGTACACCGAACACAACCTTTTTTTCTGCACGAAATTCCCCTAACACCTTTTGCACGCGAGGTAGGATCTACGGTGTTCGTCATTGTCGCATTACAGGAAGCAGATTATGTAGACAAGTGTGACCAATTCACAGTTACACTCAGTTTATGTTCATAAACGTCTGCAGGATGAGAAACATACTATTATACACTTCAGGAATTAGGTTGAAGATATATTCTATTCCTTGAGTACAGGATGGAACATAGAGTTTGAAGAATAATAAGGCTTACATTAGGAAAAATTAACATTCATGTTTGCAGTACAAGTAACTGACTAACATTTTGTGTCCTGAGTCCAGGTGAATTCTTTATGTTAATGATAATAACTTTCCTTCAAACAGTAAACTCGACACAATGTGGAATTTTCAGCAAGTAATACAATATTAAGAACACAGTATTCAGCAACGAGACTCTTTTCAGCGAATTTATTATCAAGCTGTACAAATGTATATATATATATATATATATATATATATATAGTTCTTAAGAAATGATATCCGGTTAGGGAATGTGATCAAAGGTGTGGATACATGTAATAATAATAGTATAAAATGCAAATAAAATATTTGTGATTAGGGTCATAGTTAAATGTCAAGTAGCAAAAAAAGAAGTGTCATTTATAGAATAATTCATAAGACGTATAGATGTTGGAAAGTGGTGTAATTATAGGACTACTAGGGTAATATAAAACGTTACATAACATGGCGTGAAATTTGATAAGATAGAATTCACCATTGTAAAAATAAGAAAATCATAATTTTGGATTTGGAATGACAAGTGGGACAAGCGGAAACAATTCAGAGTGAGAACAGTAATAATAATAGTAATAATAATAATCGTCGCCTTAAGGTAAAAGTACATAAAATAACTAAATAAACAAAATAAGTAAATAAATGCCTATTCCTCTATGGCCAATGCAGAAGCAGTGATTGTAAATATGGTACACAAAAGCCTGGCCTAAAGTTATGAATTGCCTATGCCTTCGCTGTCTTCAGAAGTCTGTAACGAAGAAAACGCATGGATTCGGCTGATGATCTTAAAATAATGGTCAGGGTTGGCATAGTGACAGGAGTCGATCAGCTGCTCTAGAACAGAGCTTTGAACACACTTCCTTTCTTCCTTGCTAAACCATGCTGGAATATGTTCTCGTATCTTATCTTTTACAAAGATGGAGAACAACTGGTGGTTGGTGAACGTCATTTGCAAATTTGCTGCAAGAAACGTCTTAATGACTGCTTTAGAAAGACGATTTTTGAGCATATCTGAAGCTTGATCACGTTTGAATTCCAAGTTCATGACAGTTATAAAATGAAGACAATAGATGACATTGTTTTCCGTCCCCTAAATTTTAAAATAAAGCTTCAAAGTAACCGTCTATCTCTAGATACTTGATCTTTCACTGGTAGTTAATATTCCCATTGTTTATTTCCGCTAATCGTTGTTTTGCCACTCATTTTTAAAAATTAACTGTAACTATTAAACTATCGTTTTCGTCCAACGCTTAATTTGTGTCTTTTCCTATATCTCTGACATTGAGATCATTTTTTTCAGTCCTAAAATGATCTGATGCTCACCAGGGACTGGTTCTATTCAGGGAGTTAAACTAGGGTTGTAGTGGGAAGCCGGTTGAAGGTGAGGCAGTAACTCATCGATGAAGACATTGCAAATTGGTCGCCCCATGTCATAAACTGGCAGAAGTTCGAATTCATAGACTGGCCACTGGATTGGGTTCCAGTGGTTTAGTGGTCTACCAGCTAGCACGCCTTGTAACGAGAAGGTAGTGGGTTCTAACCCTGGCAGTGGGTGCATACTGATGAAGAGTCACAAGCACGAGGACGAAACAGCTGTTCAGTACTCCCTGCAGGTTTTCCAATGATTGTCTAACTGATATCAGCTCGTGATGAAATCTTCCAACCGACTAAACAAGTTCCCTACAAAAATCGATACTTCAAAATATGAGAACTACTCTTGCTCCCACCAGTGCATTTTTTCCCTTTACTTACAGCTACTTTATTTTTAACTCATGAAAGTCTTCAAAAACTCTTTCACTTCCAGTATTCTCATGTTCTCCTCAGTAATAACACAATTCATTTCACAGGCAACTAGTTCAATAAAAAACTATATACCGCAGATTATTCATAAAGGAATAAAGATAAATCATTTTGAAATATTTCAGAACTGTATTTCTCTGCTTAATTTTAGTTTAGTCCCCTTATACAGCTAAAACATGGCCCTTCAGTCAATGATTCATCCCACAAATCATGTGACAAAATGTCGCTAAAAGGAGAATTCAGCACAATCTAAAATCTAACTTTCATTTAAAAATTTAGGGAATATAGGTTAATTTATGAATCAATAGAAATGTTTACCTTCAAGAATACACCATTTGGCATTTTTATGTGTGTTTTTAAGTTGTATACAAAAGTTGGTTATAATTATCCATGGAATAGTGCATTCTACTGATGTAGGACTTTGAGTAGTGTCTTGATGCATGTACCCACAGTTTTGGATATCATGCAGCCCTGTTTGTGCTCTAGGCATGAGAAGAATACCTAATAGTTATGTTGCTAATATCGGTTATTTCCCATCTTTGTTTTGCATTCTGTTAAGTTATTCCTCGGTACATTTACTAATTGAAAACAGTCAATAGATTTTAAACTACATTGGCTTCATTATACATCACTTTTATGAAGAAGGTTACACCATATTCGAGCACAATTAAGTAGGATGAAAACGGCCTTGAAATGCCTGTTCCATGGCACCCAAAATGTACCTAAGGGTAAAAGAGACAGACTAAAATCAGTTAACTAAAAAAACTTGTAGTTCATTTTCAGATGCTTTAAGTGATTTAAATCTTGTTCTTATGGCTACACATCCGGCCAGACTCAGTTCCCGTTTCTTGCTTGTCTTTATACTGGTAACACGCATGCATCCAGTGTTTGTAACTCAACCACAGTAGGCAGACAAGTTTCTTAAATCTTCTCCCTAAATAATTTCAACATTTGATGGTCAGATAACACTTTTAAAAAAGTGAGTCTTTTTATTTGTTTTTCGTGATTAGCGCTTACATATTATGTGGGGTATTGATTAAATGAGTACTTAGTAAGACTGGTTTAGTTTACTTTATCAACGACAAAACCAGTCACTTATATCCTCGTTGTCTTTAGTTGTAGCTGGGAAAGGTAAACAATCTAATGTACACTGAGGCTCATTTTTTCAGTTCTCCTTAAATCTCTGCAACTTATTACTTTATCTGTTATCATAATTATTAGTTTATTGACAACGTCAAGCTTTTGATGTCCAAAATCTTATTCAAAAGATAGCAGAGAAGTACACAGCCTAGTTCAGTTGTTATTTCTTTCCCAAGGATTTGCGACTACTTTTGTGAAAAGACTATGGCATAATATTTACCAGTGGTAATCAACACCTGTTATTAAACTGATGACGATGATTTACTGCTGGTGTATGTGAATATACTACTTTACTGTGTACAACAATGTCAGCATAATTATTTTTTGAGCTCCTGAAACTTTAATTTTCTTACATTAAGTGTATTCGTATGTATGAGATTAACACTCAGTTTATCCCACTTAACCTCGCCTGGTTTACTAGTTCGCTAGTTTTTTAGCCGGTCCTAATCCCAGAGAAAAAAAGAAGATCGTTCGTGAGGCTAGCGATTCTACTCCGTAAAATCATTCTAATCGCTACAAAAGCTTCAAAACACAACAACAAGCTGTGATCACTATCAACGGAATAAAGCTGGACGAGGTCACTTCATTCACTTGTGTAGGCAGCAAGCATCGTTTCAACTATTGGTGATAACACGGGTAAGGATGTCGACACCAGGATCGAAAAGGCAAGATAGACCTTCAACAGTCTGAAATGAGTTTGGAAGTCTTCCGAACTCAGCATGAAGGAAAAAATTCGAATTTTCAACAAGAACATTATTATTATTATTATTATTGTTCCCTTGGGTTCCTAGTAGGACTCTTCTTCACACGATCTCCTCCACTGACGTCCCACTCGCCGCTTCCTTTTTAGGCCTGGTTCTACTCCAGCAATCGCCTGACGCGCGATGTCACCAACCGGCCTCCTCAACGAGTGTCCAATCCACCTCCACTTCCTCCTGCATATTTGTTGGTTGGCGATTGGTTCTTGTTTTGTTTGTTCCCAGCCATAGTTTCTTGTTGGTGATTCTTTCAGGCCCGGCCATCTGATCTTCAGTATAGAGCTAAGATAGTTTTTGGTAGGGTCTGCAACAGGTTATTGGAAACAATCTTCGTGACCCGCCCGCCAAGTTTCTGATCCGTATAGAAGAACTGACTTTACGTTTGTATTGAAAATCCGAATCTTGTTGGTGATGCTGAGTGACGAAGATTTCCAGATTGGTTTCAGGTTGATGAATGTGTTTCTCGCCTTCCCGATTCTCGATTTGACATCCTCATCCGTTCCAACTGCCTGTAGTTGAGACAATGCTCCCTAGATAAGTGAGTGAATGAAGTAACCTCTTTCCAATCCCTCCCGTTGATGGTGATTGACGTTGGATGTTGTTGCTGTTGTTGGTTGGTTATTTTCATAACCCCCGTCTTGTCTATGTTTACCTGGAGTCCGGTCTTCACTACCTGCTTCTTCGACCAGTTTGTCAGTTTTCGCTTGTAAGTCTTCTCTTCTGTGTGGTATCAAGCATAAACCATCCACGCGCGAAATCCAAGTCTTCTAGGTTCTTCACGTCGGTCCAGGATATCCCTGTCTTCTCGTTTCCCACTGTGTGACGTATAATCCAGTCCACCACAATTAAGAATATCATTGGTGATAATAAGCCAGCACCCTTGTCTGATTCCTGTGTTTACTCCA